TGAACACGTGTCTCCTGATTGGCTGCTAACGTTTGGTGTGGAGTCTATTTAAGTACCTGGAACCAGATGGTCTGGAATTCTGAGCTCAGACTCTGGGCTCAGGTCTGGTTTGTTCATATGCAAAAGAGTTTAATCTGGCACGGTGAATGCATTTTCAGTGTAATTTAAAATCAGTGTGAATGTGTGGATGTCTCCAAAATGAGGAACCGCCACTTATTGGATCTCACGTTCATGCTCTGAAATCCTGAGCAGGAACATTCTTCTGTCTTCATGAAACAATTCAGATTTTGATAAAATGTGGACTCACGGTGACTCATGTCGACTCACGGTGCATTGTTTGTTTGTTTTTATTTAATTTTGCACCAGTGAAGTAATGAATTTGACTTTTATTTTCGTCATCCATCTCGACAAACCTGCTCACTCCACTTTGTTGAAATGACAACAACAGACGCTGTTGTTATTTTTAAAACGATGACCAGACAAATAGGATCACGACTGTGACAACGATGTAAACTGTGGATGAAAACCATGGAAGTCAAAAGTTCACACAAATCTGAAAAAAAAAAACCCAACCCTCATGGTTGAATCCTGCTGTGTTTAAATACTGACTTTGGCAAAAATGTGAGATTACCACAGAGGAGTCGACGATGTAGAAGAAGATGCACTGGAGGGGAGAGAAAAGTGCTGAGTCCTCTGCTGTTTGGATGGAATTAGAACAAAATAAAAACAGTTCTCATGAGAGACGGGGATCTGAAATGGAATGTTTAAAAAAAAATCAAATCAATTGCATTTCACCTCCTTCTGTGTGTGTGTGTGTGTGTGTGTTTAACCAAGTATTAACAACTGAGTCTGAAACTCATTCGTAAGTGAAAGTCCTCATTCCCATCAGAGCAGCGTGTCTGATGAGGAATTTACTGATGGTGCCTGAACGCATCATTTGTCCCCGAAAACATCACACTGTAACATCAGGCTGATGCATCACAGGCCGTGTGTGTGTGTGTGAATGATCATCTCGGTGTTTCCTGCTCACTGAGAAGTCCTGAACTGGCAGAAGGAGCCAATGGATGACCAGCTTTTTTTTTTCTTAATTCTTATTATTTCCTATCTGTAAAGAGTCTAATGTAGCAGAGAGAAGTGAGATTTATCCAGTGGACGGCTCCTGAAGGGACCATAATCTGCTGTGTTCTCCTCTGTCACCACTGATAACGGGCCTTTTATTTTTTAAATATTATGGCTGTGATTATCCTGAGTTCAGGCATCGCTGACTTCCAGACAGGCTGCTTGTCTTCAGGAATGGAGCCCAGAGAAGAAAGA